AAAGCGCCTACATGGCAAATGCTAAACGAATGTAGCAAAAAGCGAAGCGAATGGTCGAAAGATCCCAGATTTGTAGTACGAAACTTGGTCTTTGAAGAAAAGTTGCAAAAATATTTTGTTCTCATTGTTCATCGTGGATGGTTTCAAACCATTAGCGACAAATCCATTTTCCGAACCAGCCTAAGCAAAATATCTGTTTATAATGTAGGAAAGTCTTTTAGTTTGCTACAGCTGTCCTAAAGCTAATATAAAATCAAATACTGAGAATATCCAGTTTACCAAAGGACTGATATTATTGCCTATCCGCTGTCTGTATTGGCAAACTGTAGTGCATTGTACCTAATAGTCTGCACATGTACGTGGCGAACAAGCTACACAATTTACTTGATGTTTAAAATATTTTTTCCTTCCCATGACGCATTTTCAAATTGCCTTTCTGTCGCCAATTATTGCTCATTGTCAATGGTGCTACAATTTCCCAAAAAGCTGATTAAATGGGAGTGAAAGTTGAAGTCATCCTCACCGAATTGATGTATAATGTGCGTGCAGAATCCAATCAGTGAATTGTTTGTCAAATACATTTGCCTCCTAGGCATATCCAGTACCCATAGTCAGTGAGACAATGTTTTATAAACACTCACTAACTTGGCTCTCGAGAGCCTGACAGTTCTGACCGCCTGCACTGATAACAAATAATTTTTGCTTGCTGAAGTATTGGAGAATATTTCGTCAATTAAGACTAGGAACTGAGTAGCTTTTCATCCTAGACAGACATGGTTGAATAAACTCTTAATTTTCAAGGTCCAAACATGGTTTTACTATGAGCAGGTACTATCTGTACTCGAGGTTTGGGAGATAATTAAATAAATGCTGTTATTGCGTTTCAGTGTTTCGGTGTTTCAGTATTATATGCTACAATTGCTTTCAAGGTTGAGTATTTGAGACAGCATAATTGGCGATGGAAAGAGCAATATGCTCTTTAAATTCTACTTAAACATAACACGAGTTCGTTTAGCCCTACAGTGTAAAGGAAATATCCATATACCCGAAAGTATGCAATTTTTCATAATCGGTAAATAATGGCATTCATTTTAGCAATTCCATTCGATGTTTAAGTATAAAACGAGTAATTAATATTGACGTAGTATTTTTTACGTCAAATGTCGTCTTCGTTTGGAAAATAGCCCACGAAGATACTCAATACATTTTCGGTAGAGCTAGAACGCATGCACCCTGTTTTTCTTTTAACTGCCATCATAACTTTTTATGGTTGGTTTTGTAAAATAAGTTTGCACTGTTGTCATTTAAGTTGCAATTACCACACTGAACATATAAGTCTCGTAAGCTATGTACCTAAATAGGCTTTCTGTGTTCACTTTACACTGCAAAAACATACTACGAGTCCCCTGTACCGTTAAGGCGAAAATGATGCTCCCTATTATAAGTGGTTCTTCTTACTCCATAACCAGTTGTTGTTAAAAGCACAGCTTACATAGTGACTTTATATTTCTGTACTAGCACATTAAATAACAGTTGTATGTCTTTGACGTAAACAACTTCCGTCATTGTCAAATTATAAACCGTTTTATCTCTACAGTGCGATTATTATATTGCGCAACTAAATTAAAAATATTGAAGTCTCATTCAGCAGCACAAAATACATTTTCCGTCGGCAGTTTTCAAGTGCATGATTATTTAAACTTTACAAACAGCTTTTCGGGATACAAGCATGATATATTTATGGTATAATAAAAAAAGTAAAAGATATGCTAGTCGTTCAACTTAGATACCTGTAGCCGCAAAATTCTGTCTTAGTTTAGTTTTCAGTTTATTGCTCTGTTTATTAGTTTAATTTCATTTATAGTTTAATTTACTCTTCGTTGAGTTAGTGCTGTTTGACTTAGTTTGTTTATTTCAGTTTAAACTATATGGTAGCTATTTAAGTATATTTATCTAACGTTGGTGGTATCTAACTAATCTACAAAAGTAAACTAACTAAACCTAAAAGTTAACTGATAAATAAAATAATAAACTAAAATAAAACCAAAAGAAACTGAAACACTAGGGGGCTAGGCATATCAACTTAAATGTAACTCAAAAGATAAAGCTTTCAGCTCGACAGAATCATAACTTTATTCATCTGAATAATGCTGCTGGATTCCATCGTCATAGATGAAAGCGGCAACGTAGAAAGTGACAATTATGGGATGGACATCAATAAAACACCCGTAATAACACCACGTAGGTGACTGCAAGATCGATAAATTGATTGACTAAATTCCCATCGGAGGCCCAGACCTAAATCAATTTCCGGCTTTTCCTCCTTCTGTCGTGGGCTATTATTTTTGTGGTTGTGAAGCTAAACGCGTGGGCATTTTCGTAAGTATGGGCAGTCACTTTTGGTAATTCGTCAATCTGTCACACACCCGGCCTATTTTCGCGTATGCGTGATCCAAGCATGCATGCAATCTGTCCTGTGTTAATGCGAGAACAGTTCATGCATGGGATGCGATACATTACATCCAGTTGTTAGGGTTTACCTATTAACTCTACCCCCGTGATAACCCTATTGAATGTCCTTTAATTATTGGCAGTATCCGTGGTCGAACGAACGGTGGGTTTCTAAACAAATGTCTATTAGTTTGAGCAAAGCAGCTGCGGAAACATTCGTGTCACGGCACTTTAGGACTTCCTTGGGCAATCCCACTCCATGAATCATGAGTTAGTCATGGTGGCTCTGGACGTTTGTGCCCGAACCCAACCCCGTTCTTATTGACTCTGTCTTGACACCGGGCTAGGGTTGGCGGGAGAAGAGGGAGTGTGGTAGATGTAACGAAAGTAAACTAAAACTTAAAACGAATCCACGCGTAAGTCCCGTTACCGTAAAACCACGCTCTAAATTACACGGTGGACATTGTCGGAATCGACGGTCGAACTACCATACGTTATTAAATGTTACACCCGTAAATAACCGTGGTAATAACTCTGTGGGATGCGAAGTAGTCCGGCCGGATAATAGTAAATAAAACGTATACCAGTTGTTATAAACTAGCAAATAAAATAAAGCGTGGAAGGCCAGAGTGTTATGACTGATTTAACTAAGTGATAAAGGAGTAGAATGTGAGTAATAGATAAGTGACTCCCAGACAAGTGCAGTCCAGCCACGAGCGGGCCGGAGTCCAGATTCGCATTTTGGCGGGTGTAGTCGCCGGCTCCGGGAGTGTTTGAGCGTAAGTAGTCAACACCCTAAGGTCCTTTGTGGACTGGCCTTGGGAAATGGCTGGCCAGTTAGGTCAGACACGTCCGTGACCTTACCCTGCCTTGCCACGCTTGGGTGCGCATGTACTTAGTAGACACGAATAACAGACATGCTCCAGAAGCGTGCGAGCGAAGGATGGCGTAGAATACGAAGTCGCAACAACTCTATACATTTTTACATTTTCTAAAATTTACTGGTGCTGCACTAATGAAAACTAAATTTTAATGCTATTAAGTGTAGTTTACTGTTTGTTTTAAAACCTTTGAAACTGGCAAAGTTGGCTAGGAGGGATAGTAGGGGAGATGATTTGGTGTAGATTTACATAGCTGGAGGGTCAGTTACATCATTATCCTCTTCGCTACGTGTATACCTTTATTCCTCCGGGAAGGGTCCCTCTAGCAGCTCTTGATTCATCGGAGGAGGAAGATGCAACAAGCAGTATAACAGGAAAAGCTCTTGAAGTTCAAAAAAAACTTGGTTAAGTGCTCTCATCTATAGATTACTTAGTGCTTCTCTCTTCGTGGCAACGTAAATAATACGATAACTGTACATCGCCTCGTTCGTGTCTACTGCTTTGTTTGAAAATCTCTTAATATTGGAGTCCTGACTCTCCGAAATAGAGATTCTATGTTCTATGCGAGGAAAATTAATCGGTCATTAAGTTCTTCGAAAACTTCTTCGGTGAGACAAGCTCATCTTCTTGCTATTATTATTATTATTATCAATA